ACAAAAGTAAACTTATTGTTTCATGGGTATCGTAGCCCCATATTTCTCTTTCGAATGGTGAAAACCGCACCTCTCTATCTATCACCGTTCCGGAGCTATAAGGTCAACACTGACCGGCCGTTCTATTTTGAAATGGATAGTAGCAGATTCAGACCGTTTTACATATTCAATAATATTTATGGGTTTTTCTTGGTCTATTTTATATATCATCTTCGACTAAACAAATTTTAATAATTTTGTTTTGATTTGTTCTTTAGTTTGATACCTACTTCCACCAAAAAAACAAAGATTTTATCTCCCTTTATTCCAAACTTATGGAAAAAAGACCAACAATTGTAATTTTCAGTGCTATCTGTCATCAAAAGTTTACCTTTATCTCTATAATTTTTCTTTATATATTCAATAACATTTATGGGTTTTTCTTGATCTATTTTAAAGATAGAATAACTTATAATTAATGATATTGTTTCTTTTGGGCTGACAAATGATGTTTTAGTTTTGATCAACTGATTTATTTATTGTTGTTCTAATGATCATGTTCACCGGGTGGTTCATTCATTGTCAAATTTTGGAAATGTCTGAGTGACATATAAACTAACGTGCTCAAATACCTGATATTGCAACTTTCTTCGCATAATTTTATAATATCATTAATATTTTTCAGCATATCCTCAGAGGTAAAATCAATTTCACTTTCCGTCTCGTGGTCAATATCTTCTTCTTCATCTTCTTCTTCTTCGCTTGGAGATTCGGCTGGTGTTTGAGACAAACTTCCACTGAAACGTTTTTGAAATCCGAAAGTCTTTGAGTGTGATTTTTTTTACCAGTTTCAGGCATTTTTGGAAGTTTTCAAAGGTTCTATAATTAAAAATTTAATAAGACGTTGATAGGTTGCAAAAACGCTAATATTCTTTTTCTAACTCTGTTCAGATTGTCCTTCAATACACCCCGACGAATATATGGCATTAGACCATATCACGTTTTCTATCTTTCGGAATTTTCCCAGAAAATTCTCGCACTCTATTTGGGAATTTTCCCAGGGAAAAATCTCTCTAGCACTCTCTCTGTTTTTACTATATAAACACCGAGCTTTACCATGTAAGAGTGTTAGTTGTATTCAAATCATCCTTAACACAAAATAAACTCTATTTTTGTAAGAAATAAATGTTTAATACAAGAGCCAATATATCATCAACGAACCCAACTTCACAACGTTTCAAAACAACAAATCTGGTGCACATACGTTGTCTCAATGCACTTGCTATAGTGAATCATCAAATGCGCCCGGCGGTTGAGCTATTCTGTTGTAAAGTAACTGACATTTGTTTGTGTCTGTTGTAGACGTGCGCAAATACAGTGAACAGTCCTTTCCAAAACTGATAAATTTGATTAGTGAAGAGCGTCGCAATTTTAAAGAGAAAAAAATTGATCGTAAACTTCAACGACGATTTTGGCGTACGCGACGTGCCTATGATCAGGGTCAAGATTATAAGGAAGTACTGTGCATGTTCTTTACTTCTCTTGCAAGGAAAATATCGTTTCGCATCGAAAAATTCCAAATACAAATTTAAACTTAAATTTGTATTTTTAGAACAGTTTTCTTTTTCTTGTGTAGATGGGCAAAAAAGCAGATCTTTTTTATTTCGTGATACGCTTTTGTAAAATTTTATTTTTAATCAAGACTTTGATATAAAGACACATGTGATAGATCAATGAATGACTGAAAACTGAAAATTCGAGTGTAGTGTGTGGA